TCTATAAGCCCGGAAACATTACAAGGCGAAAATATATCTACTTAATCCTTAGTGAAACAAAAGTGTATAGTTGACGTTCATTTATTCTATGCGAAATCGAGTGTAAAAAAATGGCTATCGAAATCATAAAATGAGTGCAGAATAAAAGTTAATTTGATACAAGTCTACGTTTAAAACCCAAACGACAAAAACGTCCTTCCTTTAAACGTTAAGTACTATGTTATCCAACTACACGATATATTTTATTCATGAACTTCCCAGATCTCAACCCTTCTTTATTCAAAAAATTGAAGAAAAAAACAAAGAGAATTGTTTTTTTGTAAAAGGGCACAACAGTTCTTGGATTTGTGTGTGTGTGTTTTGTTTTTTTTATCGTCTGTATTTAAATCAATATTTATTTTAGAGCATGTATTCCGACTTATTTCTATTGCAAAACGTCTGCTTTTAATTGGTATTGCACAGCATGAATAACAAGCGAAATGAAATAATGGACAATGATCGCTGGAAAACTCATACGATATTGACAAGGAGTTTAAGACCTGGCCAACAATTATTTACGTCCATGGTTGTCATGAATTGATTTTCTTTCTGCATATTAATTTTATGCTCATGTCAAGACAGTGGTATTTCATAAATCTTTATCATAGAACCGAAAACTTTCTAAAAAAAAAGGTTTAATTGTTTCTAGATAACATTTAATGAGAACTAACTGTTTCTAGGATATATTAATTTTACCATCCCTAATGGACCATATAAAACAGCAAACGAATAGTTCGGCAAAGCGACACTTACAAGTTCACGACCGTTTTTTTCTAGAAAATCTATAATTTAAGTACGAATGTGTGTTTGTGTGTGTGAAATAGCTACATTTAACATCTGCTTCCACCAAAGTGATATCGCCGACAAGCACCGGTTCGATCGTTCGTTCCTTGATGCATAACGTTCGCTTACACCTTGGCTGATATCGCAGACAGGTTTTTTCCTGGGTCAGACCATAAGGTCTCTGATGCCAATCTCACACCTGAAATCGTAGATTAACTCTTAGATCTTGTATCACAGGCACCAGTTGCATAACAGCTTAGCCACTAGCAATTCTTTCTAGAACACTTTACATAGTAGCAGTTATATCTAAAACGCTTTACCATTATGAATATTAGCAGTTATTTTAGCAGTTATTTCTAGAACACTTCACCACCAATAGCAGTTATTTCTAGAATACTTTGCAACAAATAGCAGTAATTTCTAGAACACTTAACCACCAATTGCAGTTTTTTCTAGAACACTTAACCACCAGTAGAAGTTATTTCTAGGGTACTCTACCAGCAGTAGCAGTTGTTTCTAGAATACTTTACCGCCAGTAGTATAGCTGGTTCTTTATAGTAATAGCAGTCATTTCTAGAATACTTTACAACCAATAGCTGTTATTTCTAGAAAACTTTACCGCCAATATCTTTATTTCTAGAATATGTTACCACCAATAGCTGTTATTTCTAGAATACTTTACCACCAATAGCAGTTATTTCTAGAACACTTTACCTCTAATAGCAGTTATTTCTAGAATACTTTACCACCAATAGCAGGTATTTCGAGAACACTTTACCACCAAAAGCAGGTATTTCTAGTACACTTATTTCTAGAACACTTTACCTCTAATAGCTGTTATTTGTAGACTACTTTACCACCAATAGCAGTTATTTCTAGAATACTTTACCTCCAACAACAGTTATTTATAGAACACTATCACACATTAGCAGTTGTTTTTAGAATAGTGATTTTTTATAGAATATTTTACCCCCAGCAGCAGTTATTTTCAGAATACTTTACACAGTAGCAGTTGTTTCTAGAATAGTCATTATTTCTAGAATATTTTACCCCCAGCAGCAGTTATTTCTAGAATATTTTACCACCCATGGCAGTTATATCTAGAATAGTTTACCACCAATAGCATTTTTTTTTAGAATAATTCACAGCAAATAGCAATCATTTCTATAACACTTCACCACCCATTGCAGTAGAGCACTTTACCATGGTGATCTCGAAATTTTCTTCTAAACGCGAGCAGCAAAATGAGAAGAAATGTAAATATGAAGAAGGAGTTTCTATTCGCGTCACTAATTTTTCTTGGTAAAACAGACACTTGAGTCGACAACATATAGGCTAACATAAAAACTTTCCTGTTGAGAACTTGGATTGGCCTAAAACTATTTTTCACCCCATGGTTATAGTTAAGAGGTTAGATCAAAATCGTCAAGTATGTGGAATAGAAGGTGTTTTTCTTTTTGAAATCTTTAAGACTACAATTAAATGCCTAATAGGTGAAATAGCTTGACCTTAACGTCCCAGAGAATGTTTCTTCTCGCCCTACATGTCAACATGAAGAAAGCAGGCAGAACTTTCCTTTATTATTTTTATTACGTATTCTACGTAGATTTCATTGGTCGTATAGTAAATACGCCTTAGTATCGTGATAAGATATTGTAAAACGAAATAAGCTGCCTTCTTTTCTTTCTTTCCGCTTAATTGTGATCTCAATAGCAGAAAACGCCTTCCTTTTCTGTTTTTCCTCAGAATCAATCATCGGAATCTTCATAAGAAAAGAAAATTTACATCATGTGCTAAAAATGCATCATTATATGTACACCGTTGTTTCATTTTTGGCTCATTGTTTCAAATATATGCTTTGTTTTTGTTTTGTTGTGTTTTTGTTATAGTTTTGTTGCTTTTTTTGGTGTTTTAGTTGTGTTGCGTTGCGTTGCGTTGCGTTGGGTCAGGGAGTGGGACGTCTTTATGTTTGTTAATAATTACCCCTTTTACTGGACAAAATTTCATCACATTCAAAAAGTTCCATTAAAAAATTCTCATCCCCCGTTTTTTATATATATTATACAAAAGGAATAGATTTTTTCTAAGGAAAATAAAGAACAAAAGTAAATAAAATAAAAATAGAAAATGGAGAAAATCCCAAAATGAACAATGACGTAATGTGTATCAGATATATATAAAACGAATATTATTTTTCCAAAAGTCTTGAATTAATATCATTGTTATTCGGTCTATACACACAACCAATAAATTAGGTAACATGGAAAAAATTATATGCAATGTTTATATAGCTTTTGTGAAATTTATGATAATGATATATTTTATTATAGCTAATGATACGAAGAATTATATGATCATTATTGATAACAATATTGTATTATATATAAAGATTATTAAACCTTTAGGGAAATAGATATTTTATGATAAAAATCCAAATCATAATCAATGAAGTCAACAAACACGACACCAAGTTGACTCCCCACACGAAGAAAATACTATAATGATGAAAATATTCATATTATAATGGACAGTGGTATCAGATGTTCATGAAAGAGTAAGAATCCACCTATGAAGTAAAACATTAGGCCTCTTCAAATCTGTAATGGCCGATGAAATTCAGAGATAAGTCTAGTTGGTAAATATCCCCGTTTCAGCAATTCCGGTAATAATACTTTGCTTCGAGCAAAATATCGTAATAACGTACTGGCATAACGTTTATATAATTGATAATGACATATTATCATTTCTGCTGATGATAAGAAATTTATTATACCCACTGATAATGATATTCTATAGATGAGAAGTTAATATACACTGATAATGATATTCTGTAGATGAAAGGATTATTATACCAACTGATAATGATATTCTGTATATAAGAAGTTTATTATACCAACGGATAATGATATTCTATAGATGAGAAGATTATTATACCAACTGATAATGATATTCTGTAGATGAGAAGGTTATTATACCCACGGATAATGATATTCTATAAATGAGAAGTTTATTATACACTGATAATGATATTCTATAGATGGGAAGTTTATGATACCAACTGATAATGATGTTCTATAGATGAGATGTTTATTATACCCACCGATAATGATTTCTATACACGGGAAATTTATTATGCCCACTAATAATGATATTCTATAGATGAGAAGTTTATTATACCAACTGATAATGATGTTCTCAAGATGAGAAATTTATTATACCAACTGATAATGATATTCTATAGATGAGAAGGTTATTATACCAACTGATAATGATATTCTATAGCTGAGACGTTATTATAATAACTGATAATGATATACTATAGATGAGAAGGTTATTATACCAACTGATAATGATATTCTATAGATGAGAAGGTTATTATACCAACTGATAATGATATTCTATAGATGAGAAGTTTATTATACCAACTGATAATGGTATTCTATAGATGGGAAGTTAATTACATTACATCTATAATGATCGTTTAATATATCAATTGATAATGAAGATGGTATTTTACCTTTAATGATAATATATAATTGTATATTATGATAATGATAAATTTATTAATGGTAATGATATCTTATAATATCACTGTAACGAGAAGTGTATTATGCCTATCGGTCATGGGGGATTTATTATAGCTAAAGTTTATGATAAATATTATGTCTGATAATGATATTTTTTTTATATTTATTAAGAAGTCGTATTTTATTAATATTTTACCTGGGACGGGTTTTTTTTTGTTTGTTTTTTTTTTTTGGGGGGGGGGGGGGAAGTGTCTTGTATTGATAACAGGTAATTTGTTTCAATAATAAAAAAAGGAATTATATACCATAGAATTGTCTCTTGTGTATTTCTAGTTCAATTATTACATGGCATCGAGATACGCGAAAACGACAAAATCTCTGTGGATAAATGCTGCACATTGAACGCACCCGGAACACATGAGTGTATTTTTCACACGTGCGAGCTCACCTTTTTTCCGATCGAACTAAATTCTGTATTTGTTTGCAGTGTATTTACTTTACATCACGATCAACCAGCCACGCCTACCATTTTCAGCATTACATCTATTTGGTGCGCTATGATCGAGACTGTTTATATACTTATAGGTAGATCCCAGTATTTACCTGTCGGTAAAGGAGGAAAAAGCCTTTGATGATGACGTCACTTTGCGTTAAGGGCGGATCAGGTGTTGTAAGTATAGTCTATATAAAGCTAGTTTAATATCACTCTTTCTTATTTTTGTTACAAGTATTTCCTTATAGTCGGACGGACGATCGTCCTTAAATATTAGAATAATTTTGGATATTTTCGAAACTAAACCTGGTAAGTTAAACATCGTCGATTCTATAGTTTAAATAATTACATTAATGGCTTATAATAACCAGCTTGATTTATTCCAAGTGCATTTTCATTGTTTTGTTTAGTTGAGTAGGGTCTATTTTGAAATAATTAATTCCTAGCTTAAACTTTTTTTTAACCATTATTATGAGTTTAACAAACGACTTTGTCATTAGAGACAAGTTCGGTGCCATTTATTACAATTACTGGTTTCCAGTGAGCGTTGTCAAGTTGTGGTCACGAACGACTGATTGGCGACTATACCGTGGACCCCGTATAAATGGTGCTATCTCCACAGAGTAAAAATAATCCCGAAAAGCTTTCAAATATAAAACTACATGTATATATTATATAAATAACTATACTCTTGCTACTCAAGTTATTTGATCTGTTTATCTGAATATAACTTTAAATTAATACACGTGTAATTATTATTCTGCCAATTAAATTAAATCCTAAACAAACCTGCCCTTGATGTTGGCAAAAACGAAATTATTATGATTAGAAATAGGTACATGGGATGTTAGTAGAACTCTGACAATTTTCCTTGAAAGCACCGACGACAAGATTGTATATAAATTATTTTAAAACAACACTTTTTTAAGCAATATAAACTATGAAAAATATAAAAATGGTTTGAAAAGGAGATCATTTGAATGATATCTATCCGGTTTTAGAAGAGCGTCCCTTTTATGTGCTAAAAAAATCACTTTTTTTTCATGGGCATTAACCTTTTTAACGTTTTAGCTATAATTTTATCACTTGCTCCCACAAACTGAACTATTCACAGAAATAAATAAACTGTCATGATAGGTTCCGTTCTGTTGCTAATACTCTTAATCATTGGGTTTAATGTCATTAGTCACGTTTAGTTCTTATCACTGTATGCTAATACAAACTCCTCTTTTCTTTTATCTGTTTGTTAATTAGGACGAACTGTATAACAAACATCTACACACTGAAAGACCGAACATAGACCTTTTAAACATGTCTTTATCCTCAGCTTGACATGACATTATGTCACCCACTTTCTATATCACCAGGATTTCTTTTGAAATGACCGGCACCTCCTTGCCTCCCCGCTCTTTTAAACTCACGCTGTACCCTTGGTATGATTGTTTAGGTTTGTAATTTTAACATCCCAAAACTATAATGCGAAAGACTGAAATAAACTAGGTGGTCGGATATGGCATACAGGGCCAGTTTTTGGCACATTTGACAAATTTTCTCAAGGGGCCCGCAGCTCACCAACTTAATAATTTTCCAGGCAATATGGCAGCAGGGCTGCATTTTCAGGTATTAAGCAATTAATAATTGTTAAGTAAAGCATAGTGCGTCTTAAATAGGAATAGGTTTATTTAAAGTTATTCATATCCTGCAATGCATTCATATCCTGTAACTTCGGGCCTCCACTGGCCATGGACATAATATTCCTCCACTGTCGGAAAAAGTGCCCATTTATTTCCATGTAGAATTACTATAAAAATTCGACTCTTTTTGGTAGCATACTTTCAAATTATGTTGATAACAAATTAACGAGACTATAATTTTGAAAGTTCAAATGACATTTTCTTTTAAAACCTGAATTAATGTTTGTCTTAATCAGATAATTGCACACCTGTGCAAAAGATGTAGGTTAGATTTTACCGGCCATTTTCTTAATTCTAACCACACTCTTTCGGTTTACAGTTACATTAATTAGTACTTTTAAACTTTACGGATTTATGGATTTCTTGCTCTGCCTGGTGTTAAACTTAAAATGCATTAAAATGAGAATTTGCTTTATTTTTAAACTTAAACAGAGTAAATACGTGAAAAATGTAAGTAAAAAAAAAAGTAAGTTAACATCTTAATTTAACATAATGTTAAAAAAAAAATTAAATCCTGTAAAAGTAAACAAAAGCAATTTGAAAGTTTCAACGAAGTTTGAAAGGTAAGTGTAACCTTAAAGGGTAATTTCAGCAGCCAACTTTAAAATACTGAACCCAATAAACAAATATACATTTTTTACTGACTGTGAGATTTACCCAACATCGTAACTGTCAATACTATTTTCAAATTTCTCTCTACAAACTAAAAACTACCCAAGTAAATTGGTAGTGTATTTAATAGAAAAGTCAGCCAATATCCAAACTGAAAGTAGAAAGTAAAATAAATAATACATTAAAATAGGATCAGATTCGATACGCAGCATCATATCATATCTAATCTGATATTTAGATTTTTTAAATTGTAATAATTATTGTCATTCAAACGTCCAAATCGCAATAAGAAATTATTTTCAAAAAAAGATATATTTCTAAATTATTTCTAAGATCTATATTTTTTTTTAATAAGTGATCTTTTTTTTTCAATTTCAGAAATATGAATCCAAAATTGCATAGGTTGGTGACATTTGGACTGGCCATCTGTTTAGTCCAGAGTAATGCCGTTCCAAAGACTATTCTCGCCAATGGCAATGATTGTCCAGACGATCGTTTGATGAAATCCAGAACTTGTAAATCCAGCATGGAAAATCTTAGAAACCAGTATAGAGATACTTTGAGCAATTTACAGGATGTTCTAGCCAAAACTATCGACGAGGTAAGTAATATATTGATACTGCACGAGGGCGTAAGCCCGAGTGTTGTTTCAATATAATACGCAATGTCCTATTCGAGAGCATTAAACAACTTAAAATACAGAAATAATGGTACCTCAACATCAACAATCCTAGTCGAAACCTCGCTCAGTAGTAAACAATATTTCGATATTCCAGAGAATTGTGTCCTGTGTATTTCCAGTTCAATGACTATAATTCAAACGTATATTGATTGCTTTCAAGGTTTTTTTCTCCTTTGGATTATGTTTGTTTGTTGTGTGGGTTGCTTAATACATTCAAGGAAAAAGCTGTAATCGTATTATGTCCATAGGATTTCAGATTCCATTCTAAAAACTTTCATTTTTTGAAAAGAGCCAAATCACCATATAATAGAATACCTTTTTGAAAAGAGTCAAGTTTCTGAATAATTTTATTTTCAGGTTGATAAAGCCGCAAGCCGACAACTTGAACCTTTATGTAGTAAACTGTCCTTACAAACACCACTTATTCGAGCAGAAGACGTACAGAAATGCGTTCTTTCACAGTGGTCGGAATGGTCTAAGCCACAGGGTTTCGGAAAGATAAAAAGAACCCGAGAAATCAAGATAAATGGTTGTGGATGCCCAGACGAATCTGAACTCGTACAAACAGTTGATGTTAGCAAATATACCAACGGTAGGTACATGTAGTCTGACGTTAAGCAATGTCAATGGAATATGAATATCTGCACTTTGAATTTAAATTTCCTTTTCAAATATTCTAAATCTGAAACGCAAATCAGAAAGCGGAAAATAATCTAACCATGGCCGACACTCGAATGTTGAAATTTGAATTGTTATATCAAACTGAATAAAATAGTAGCTAATAATGATACCTTATATTTCTAGACAATACAAGTGTTGCTGATCAATTCCAAGGAGAATTTCTAACCAATGGAAGCAACCCAAACCTACCACGTGACATTTTGATCGTACTTGATTCCAGTGGTAGTATCTATGACAAGGACTTTGAACTAATGAAAGATGGTCTAGAGATTATGATAGATCTTTTCTGTGGTGGCTTTGGACCAGACAAGAGTAATAACCGAATGGCTATAATACAGTTTGCTACCAACGTCACTATCATTCATGAGTTCGGTGATGACCAGGACCCAGAAACATTGAAGGAAAAAGTACGCAAACTTCGCCATTATGCCGGTAACACCTGTACCGGAGATGCCATGGACGTTGCTTCCAGAGATATATTTAATTCCGTTAATGGTAAGCATGCTTTTGGTCTGGTTTATTTTTTAGTTTTAGTGTATTAGACAACGCATGATAACAACACTGGGTAGATCAAACGATGCGGTATAGAGACAGAAAATATAAAATCAAAATACCCCAAAAAGATAAAACGATGTCGGAAAACCCTAATCAAATTGTATTTGTAAACATCTTGGGGTCGAGTGAAGGTGGAGTAAATTTTGGATGATCATAACATATAATCAGGGCTGGCTTCAAGGCGATTGTTCCTAATTAGAACCCACACACAAGTGGGTCCGCGCTAGTTTGATCTACCCAAGTCTTGTCAAATACAACTTACACTAAGGCACGTTCTTAATAATTAAAAAAAATGTTATTTTTGGTCATTTTTATTAAACCCTTCAACTACTACAGACATTTACTGTTTCCAAATCTTACTGAACATTGTCTTAGAACTCGCTTAAGTTTCTAGATTCAATTTTATGTAAAAGAATCTTTCTTTCTTCCATAATCTTAATTTCAAGTGGGCCGCTTCTCCTTGCGTGCATGTCGGAACGCGGTAGCAATGGTAGAAATATTCTGCTACGGTCTCTTAATAATGCAAGTTTCTTAGTCAAGCTAGCGGATCCCATGGATAGCATTGTTAGAGCTTATTTTAATTTTTTAAGCATGTTTAATTGTGTATCTTGTAGTCTTAACTATCATGTGGTTCACTTACCAAATCATTTCACGAAAGAAATATATATATTAAAATTTTCATCTTGCAGCAATACTCACCGTTGAACAATGTCAATACTTTATTTGATGTTACAAATATTGGAGTGTTTACTAATACGAAACACCCCTGTACTACATACAATAAGGAACAACAATGTTAGCTTGTTTAATAGAAAAACACATCACTTTCTTTGTAAAGATTTGGGAATGTATAGAGGGTTAAAAATAAAGATGAAACATTTTTTTATATTGTACGACAGTTTCTAGATTCAATTTTATGTAAAAGAATCTTTCTTTCTTCCATAATCTTAATTTCAAGTGGGCCGCTTCTCCTTGCGTGCATGTCGGAACGCGGTAGCAATGGTAGAAATATTCTGCTACGGTCTCTTAATAATGCAAGTTTCTTAGTCAAGCTAGCGGATCCCATGGATAGCATTGTTAGAGCTTATTTTAATTTTTTAAGCATGTTTAATTGTGTATCTTGTAGTCTTAACTATCATGTGGTTCACTTACCAAATCATTTCACGAAAGAAATATATATATTAAAATTTTCATCTTGCAGCAATACTCACCGTTGAACAATGTCAATACTTTATTTGATGTTACAAATATTGGAGTGTTTACTAATACGAAACACCCCTGTACTACATACAATAAGGAACAACAATGTTAGCTTGTTTAATAGAAAAACACATCACTTTCTTTGTAAAGATTTGGGAATGTATAGAGGGTTAAAAATAAAGATGAAACATTTTTTTATATTGTACGACAGTTTACAATTCGCCGTTTAAATAAGCCATGTTCTATCACTGTGGTCAACTTGAAGAAGTTCACCAATAAAAGAAAAAGTCACAACCGTTGATACTATGTTAGTTTAAAACAGTATCTATTGAAATTGAGTATAACTACTGTATCATGCTCAGTATTTGTGTCTTATGATAATAAAAGTCGTGTAGTAGATTCATCAGGGTGTATTTTATAGATAGAATAGTAAGTTTTAGCAAGTTTTTCGCATCAACATAATAGCTTATATCTATAGCATGGTATTAGAATTATTGCATTTTTCGTGTGCTTTGGACAAGAAGCAATCTGATTAAAACACAGATCCTATTACGTTTCTTTTTTTATAGTTCAAAATTTGGTTTTACTACGCTGAGATCTGGAAGAGTTGTTATATAACCCGCGTTCTGGTTGAAGTCAGATATTAGCCATTACACGGAACTGTGGGTATCCCACTAGAAACATCAACGCTCATTGGTTAATCAAATGTGTGACGTCATAGGGTCAAAAGCTGCTCGTATGACTCCTGACGCGACCCTCTACTACAACTGGTCAGATGTTCATGTAGGAGAGGCCATCGAAAGTATAAAAAAAACGAAACTAAATATATATCTGTATTTTAATCAGATTGCACAAAAAGTGCCAAACTGTTATTTCGATTTGAAATATATATCGAAGTTTGTAATTCATCTGTTTGATTTAAAGAAGTCGTGTTAGTACCTGTTGCTCGATAAAAAAAGAATTGGTGGGTAGCCGTGCTGAAGTCTGCAGTCTTAGATCTAGAGGGCCTAATATAGGTGTATAATATTTTGACATTGCCAAAAGTCTTTCTTACATGCACTGTAATCTGAGACATCCACCGTCATTCTTGGCTTTTCCCAGTTATGCTTAAAACGCACGTTCACCTTCCTCTCACCGCGGGGGTGTGGGATTGGGATGGGTCCTGTAAGTCGAATAGCCGACACTGAGAGTAGTATTTAGATAGTAATGGGTAGTTTAAAGGACAATATTGGTGTTAATCATTAACACAAATAGTCCGTACATTCTCTTTTTTTTATTCATTCTATACTTAATAAAAACATTTTAATGTGCAGGCTTTTTCTATTTTTCTCGTTTTCTCTTATCTAGTGACAGTCAATTATTTTTTTGAATTGTCAGATATCCTCCCACAGTCTTATATAACAACTTTTGATCTTCGAAGGAATTATTAGTGAGCAGAAATTCGCCCGTGTATCTGTTATCACTCGTCACTTCCAGTCGGTTATATAGAAGGATAACCCATGTTTTCCTTTTGCGTTCGTCACTTCCGTTTCTTGAAATCTCCATAACGCATCTATCGTAGCAATGATCTATGTGTTAAAATTATATTCGGAACGTGTTTAACCAGTTCTGTCGCATATGTGATAAAGACTGACACCAATATTGTCCTTTAACTTGTTCACCAACATGCGATATCAATACTTTCAACCGTAACGTCACAAAAGATCGAAAGCATCCTTCGAACTGTGGATCTACAATCAGTTTATATTGCAATTTGTTTCCGGGAAGGGAACCCTGGAGTAAATGTTCAAGCACCGCCGAACCTTTGAATGTCTTTTATACGCCCACATTTTTATTTAGACACATATTTTCGTCGCCCCTGTCCGTCCGGACGTCCGTCCACAAATTGTTTGTGAACACTCTACAGGTCACAATTTTTATCCAATATTGACGAAAGTTGAGATGTGTATCTTCCAAAGATCCCGGTTCCTTTCGAAATCGGCATGTATGGGATCGTAACTTCATAGCTTGTTGACCCTCTGGAAGTGACAATTTTTATCCGATTTTGATGAAACTTGAAATTTATGTTTATAACCCATAGATCTTGAATCCTATCGATATTCGTGCATATCGGACTGTGGATTATGGCTCTTGATTGTACGAAAAATCGCGTTTTTAGCCCGTGGGTCATCTAGAGGCCATAATTTTTATCCGATTTAAAAAAAAACTGTTACACCATAATGACGATTAAGTTCGAATTTCGTGAAAATCGGACCGAAACTGCACGACAAAATGGCCACTCCTTGCCCGCAAATAGTGTAAAAGTGTGGAATATCAAGGTAGTGGACACTCTAGAGGTCACAGTTTTGATCCGATTTTGATGAAACTTAAAAGATATGTTTATATGCAAAATATCTCGGTTCGATATTCGCGCATATCGGAACGCAACTTCCTGGATTATGACTGTACAATAAATCGCTTTTTTGGCCTGTGGTTCCTCTAGAGGTCACAATTCTGTATCCGATTTTGATGAAACTTAAAACCTGACAAAAAAACTGACCCCCAAACCTTCATAACAACAGCCAGTTGTCACGGCCATTTAATAACTGGGTTTTGCTTTAATTTATCCCTTAAATTGTTTTTGATACTTGGGTTACTTCATTATTGGTTTGAAATTAATTAGATATATTAAGGAGAAATTTAATATATTGTTTAAAGTAATAATACGCGTAGCTTACCTCTTTAAATTTTACTCTGAAACGTGTAACGTGTAACGTGTAACAGTATTATTTGATTTGGGCCGTTCTTTCACGTACCTTTCTATTATCGGTTTAACAAATATGACAAGATTGAAATGTAACAGGTTTTGCCTTAATTATATTGCAATCCAAATAACAATGTTTGGCCTTGCGTACTAGTCATGAAATGCGTCTTATGATTACTATAATTATGTAAATGATAACATCTGTGTGAAGTTTGTTGAAGGATCCAAAACTCTATTACGAACTGCTGATTTGTTTTTTAACAGTTTAAAGTTAGTAGGCGTGACACTATCCCCGCCTCTTATTGTACACGTAACCAGGGAAATTAAATTCACTTGTTAGTCTCAAAATGTCCGAGATTTTAAACGCAACGAAACTTCGAACCCACTCTAGCCCCAAACAACTATGTCAAGCTATGTGATACGTCTTCAAAGAAACACCAACTTCGAGTCAAGTGAAATAGGAAACGCGACTGGAGACAAGAAAATAGCCTATGTTTGAATAAACCTGCCTGAAACAATTTCCAGTTTTCTGTTTCATGTTGTCCAGATTATTGCTGCGTTTTAATTACTTATTAGCATCGGCGAATAGTCGCTTAATGAAAACTTGGAGAAGTGCGCTCTATAAACCGTTTCCAAACGGTTCAACATTTTGACGTTTCCTTTATAGCAGAGCTCCAGTTGAACTGGGACCGCTCCTTTAAATAATACCACACCTGACACGTCGATAGAAAATGTTAAATTTAAACAATTTATTTGAATTGTACTTTATGACATTGATTTGCATATATTATTTTTTTTTTTTTAAAAAAAATACTCTTTACTGGGTGACGCCAAAAAAGATTAACGTATTAAAAGGTTCAGCCTACAAAATAATTATGGTGCATGTTTTTATGAAGTCTGCCAATTGTGCATATCATGTGCGATTTCAAAAACAACTGAAGACTGCATAAAGGGAGAGGAAATCTTATTCTTTGTTTACGGCTATAATAAATATCAGACGGTACTTTCAAACTTTCAAACTATAGGTAAATGAGCTATGTATTTGTGGTCTTCATAAAAATTTGGGACTGCCACTCTTTAAGACGCAGATCGTGACAAAAATTGTCATCTAGCCTTATGTGTAATGGTCTGTTATTGTATTTTACATTCCGAGAATTTCCCCCATTTCTCGCTAACACCTTCAAGATAAATACACAAACATTGGACATTGTTATAAAAGCGACCCTTTAGACACGAAAGCTTATGATTATCCAGACAATTCTGTAACCTTCAGTTTGGAAACTTGTCGTCAATCCTAACAAAACTGGCCGTTTTTATTTCTTTATAAAATCACCTCAAAGCTTTAATCAAATAAATGCTTGTCTAGGATTTGTCACATAGAGTTGACCACATTTCCCCTCTGAACCATGCAGAGCCAAGACAGCTCCCGTGATTGTCTTGTTTGTTGTTGTAGTGTTCGTTCTTTTTCTGTCTGTTCTCGTTATACATTTTATATAAGGGGTCCAGTGGAGATTCAGTTTGTATTGGGTTTTGTTTTCGAAAAACTAGATGCATAAAGTGACATCGTTTAATTTTTTTTTGTTTTCTTCTCTTTCTCAGGTATGAGAGATTACACAGTAAAAGATACCCTATTAGTGACAGACGGACAATCTAACTGCGGTGTTGATCTGCATTACACAGTTTCAACATTCCTCCAGAAAAAGTCTAAGGTCTGGGCCTTGGGTGTTGGCCTAGCAACTTCACCAGCTGCTAAGAAGGAAGTGGAATCCGTAGTCACCGACAGAAATGCTAAACACATCTTTTCTTTGGCTCAATTTACCGATTTCAAAGCAATGATTGACAATATTAAGGCCCGCGGTACTAGTGACCCGTGCCAGAAAATTGAATTGTAATAGATTAATAACCTTGACCAAAGATATGTTACATTCCTGCCAATCCCCTCCACCCCGAAAATAAACACATGAACTACAGGCGAATATTACAATAAATAACTTTTACCATGATGATGACGAAGAAGAACATGTAAGGAAAGCATTTGTTTTTGTTGTTTTTTTTATCTATTTGTAGAATAAATTAATATATGGTTTTTTTGTTAATCCTCCCAACATCCACGATATATTGAATATTTAATAGCCGAATGATAAATTTACAGTTGTCACAGTTCAGTTAATTCTTCATAAAATTTGATGTTTAAAACAGTAAAATTAGAATTTGTTGTTCAAAAAAATAAAAATTAAATTTTACATTTAAAACAGTGTTTATGTTCTCGACGTACGAGACATGCTTAATATATATTCATGTTGTTCTTATTCTTTGTAATAAAAACACATCTATGGTAAAAATAACGTTCTGAGTATTGATTATGAAACAAACTTTACATTAACTTCTGGGAAAAACAGTTCCCCAAGACGATTTTACAATAGACCTCTCGCCTCATTTAACATAGGCGAGTAAGTAGATTTAGCTGGGGGTGGGCATTGGTCTAGGGTGGAGACAAGGTAAAGTTTGCGCGAGGTCTTGGAGATTACCCGAGATTTTTACAACAATATTTCTGGTCATTTAGGTGAATACATCAAAATGGCGGCAACGCTACGCATGATATTTCGATGAATGTACTCTGCCCGAATAAGGGGAAGTACAGTCCTATCAACGCCAGCATAAAACTCGCCTGCACTTTAATTAAATCATAGACTACGCCCACCACTGACAAAGTCGACAGTGACGACTCTAAAAATCAAGGTCACCAAATCCCACATGGGAAATTTAAAAAGAAAATGCATGGCAAAAGGTCAACGGAAACAACAGATTTTTAAAAAGCGACAGGGTCCTTTCTTCAATGAGCATTCCCATGGAGTTTTAAAACATTATATCCATTATGTATCGCGTTCGCAAGCTTTCATACATTGGGAAATAACTCTCATGATTTCAGGGCAAAATGTATAAATATGACTGGAAAGAGAAGTCCGAAAATTACGATTCGAAAATCGAGGTACATACATTCCGATTGAGTTCTACAACATTATGTCAAGAACTCCGACATGTATCGGCTATGGTGATTACAAGATTTCCTAAATTTGGCTAGTGTGCGGGGAAAACCTCCATCTTCTGTGATTATAAAACTCTGGTTTGGGCTCTTCTTTGTGGACCAATCAATGATCCCTGCGAATCTGAAAACAACATCCGAATAGAACTATGATCTGTAGAGTGGTAAAAAGAATTTGTCGACGGAACGACGGACTGGCGTATACGCCTACATTAAATATATAAAATAGCATGATAACTCAGTGAATTTCGATTGTGGTTATTCAAAAACTCAATCGGTCCATCGGGCTCCCTGGTGGTCGAACTTTCTGACTGGACAATAAACTGTTCATTTTTATATGCCATTAGATTACAAAGGATCAACGTGAACAAGGGTGGGTGGGGGATGGACAGGGGCGTGAATGTCAGTCGCAAACTAAATGCAGTCGGTCGCAAAATAAGTGCTCACTAAATTAATGAGGTAAACAAATAATGCCATAAAAGGAAAAATCCCAAATTTTATGTATTTGCGTGAGTCCGTGCACCTAAATTGCATACGTCACGCTACTCACCCAAAACTTTAGTATAAAATAAGCTTGTAAACTTATGTTTGAAAAAAATGTTTTTTTACCCTTATTCTGTTGTGAGTTGGTCTAAGGAAAAAAATCGCCCTTTGGAGAAAAATAGTCGGTCTCAATATAAGTGCAGTCACTGGAGTCGGTCTCAAAATTATGCATCGGCGACTGACCAAATGAATTAATGAGGTAAACAAACAATGCCAGAATAGAAGGGGGAAATCTCAAATACTTAATATACGTGCACCTAAATTTCTTACGTCACATAGTTGGTCTCAAAATAAATTTTCACTGCAGTCTGTCTCATACTAAATGAATTAATGAGGTAAATAATGCCAAAATAGAAGGGAAAAAGTTTGTGCGAATCCGTGCACCTAAATTGCAACGGTATAGTATAGTATAAAATAACCTAGTCAACTTGTCATGTTGGAAATAAAAAATCCCTGTTATGAGGATGTTGGTCTAAGAAATTGAGAGAGCTTGTTACGAAGATTTTGATAACTTAAATTATATTATTGATTGTCATACGAATAACATTAGTCGAACAGTTGGTAAAAAGTTATCGGAAGCATAGTTTGTTTCAGAAATACGTAAAAAAATCTTTAAACTATGAAATGTTAAGGTGATCTATTGAACTTGAGAATTTTTACTTGTTGCATATCTAATTCCAATAGAATTTAAAACGTATTTTACTCGTGTTGTAAGTATTTTCTGACCATCAGAATTCTGCAAAACCTTTTCCCAGTAAACGCCCCCCGTGAGACAAAGTCCCTTTAGGCCCAGTCCCAAAAAATTAACAGCTCAGTTATATAATCTAAAAAAAAAAAATTTCGCGCCTACGACGCTCAATACTATGATGTCATTATTCTTCAACTATTCTGTCTTATACAATCTCATCACTATCATATTCACAGTTACAGTGAATCGCCCAGTTAGTACTACCACTAGTGAGTTGGGCGACATACTGTAGAATTGTTATTTCCACTCTCGCAAAACAGGCGAAATTGACGGACGGGCCTCAAGATTCTGTCCCATTTCTTATCCTCTCGTTAAGGGGAATTTGATCCCATTTGTCATGACATTGACTAAAGTTTTTCAGGCCCAGTCCCCCAAAATTAAGAGGTCAGTATCTGATTTTTTCTCGCGCCTGCGCCGCTAGATTCCATTATTCTTCCACTCCTCTGTGGTCTTATACTGCCTCAGCACTATCATTCACAGTTATAGTGAAGTGCCCAGTAAATAGTACCGTTGGTGCGTGGTGTGTTGGGCATCAGACTGTAGGAATGTTCTGACAACTCTTGCAAAACAAGCGGAATTGACAGGGGCAGATTTCGAGATTCTGTCCCATTGACTTCTATTTCTGGTTCTTTGTTCAAAAGAATGTGCTCCCAGTACTGACCTTAAATGCCAGGATATTGATTCAATTTTTCAGAATTTTCTCAGGTTGCTCAGTGTTATGGCCACTGATCCTAAGGTTCACATAAATTTAATAACACAGTCAATAACAATCATTATATTATATGACATAAACTTTATGTCAACTTGAATACAACTGCTTTCCGACGAGATATATATATATATATACACGATCTATGTTCTACCGGGAGGCTCAGATATAGCTAGTATATATATACGATCTATGTTCTACCGGGAGGCTCAGATATAGCTAGTATTTTGTTGACATTCATTGCAGGTTGTGCTTGTGGATGGCGCCCTAGATTTGAAACAGCCCCACCCTCATTCCCAGCTTCCAGATAAGCTACTTCACTCGTATTAGGGACATGTTCATCAGTCGGTCACATTTTTGCTAAACACCCCCCCCCCCCCAACCCCAAACAAAACCTTTCTTTATGTACGCCCCTGGGAATGAGGGATTGTCTGTTCTACATGAACTGTCTGGTTTGATGCCCTTTAAAATAACTGCATACTATATATTAATATTCATAATATAGACATAGACACGAATCGGTATCTTCATTAAAGGGCTAAGCTAAAGTTACAGTTACAGATGAGATTCTGAAATAATTAATAGCTATTCTTATTGCCGAGAATTTGAATCCATTCATTACAAAAATGAGAAAGGCGATATATATTAAGTTTTTATTTCAGACCAGTTAATATATATTAATTTTTTTTATTTCAAACCAACTAGACATATTATAGAAAATATGATACCAAGTAATATCAAACAGAAAATTAACGACTTTATTAATACGTAAGCAAACGCATATACAATATCATCATCATATATGTTATTAAAAACAAATTAATTTTGTATTTTAAACTTCTAATTAACAGTGGATAAGTTTTAATAACCACTACTTTTGTTTCGTCAAAAATTTATCATGTGGTATTTCTGGTGATTTTGTTTTGTATTTATAGACAATTTACTAACTTTATACATATATCGAAAAACTGATAATGGGAGAGAGATGCAGCCATAAATGTTTTTTTTAACAGTACATATGCTCATCATGAGGAATTAAGGCACCGCGGTATCGCCAAATAAACAATACAAAATAATGCAACAAAACCAATAAAATATTAACGTAATAAATAAGCAATATTTTAAAAACAAACGTTTATGATAAACAATGACTTGACAAATGCGTTTACTTCACAATAAGCGAACTTTGACCAAAAGTGCGTAAAATTATAAATCAAAATCTAACGTTTTCGTTATTCCCTATTAAAGATTGTCAATCACTCGTTAGTTAGTCTATGCCAGTCTTCTAGAATACATTATTACATCCAAGAAAATTGTTTAAATTGTTCACGGGGCATTTTGTAAATGAGTGAGAATAACACATGACACAATATTATATGGCATACACATGGGCGCCGGAACGTCCGAGGGGCAGGTGGGCAAGGTGGGTCCAGGGGGGGTCTCCCCCTCTGGGCCTGAGGAGAGTCCGGGGGTCCACCATCGCGAACATTTTTGAAAATCGGGCGCAGAAACGATGAAATCTGACGTCTTCTGGCAGGCTACCTGTCAAAATACAACTCAGATCACTAGAATCATGGACCTTATAATACATTATAAGGTCCATGCTAGAATCAATAACTGATTCGGTTCACTTCGACGTAGTATATCAAACAAACATCTCGAAGCCAGTGTTTCAACATTTCATCGGATATATTCAAAAATATAAAATCTTATCATGACTTAGTATGGCAACGTGTACTAAACCCGTAACCGAAGTATATTTTTGCGCTGTTGCGATCTAATAACTTGCCTGGTATAGATCTTCTTCGTCCATACGATTTTTTTTTGTGAATAGAAGCACGATATGGGCTCCCCTGCCCTTTACCTAAACAACCAATGCCCGAACGCACATCAATTGTTATTGATATCAAGTTTGTTTTGGGTTGGGTTTGTTTTTTTTTTGGGGGGGGGGGCATTTGCACCGTCCCTGGGCATGCTTAGAAGTTTATTTCTGGCGAACCTTCGTCGAAACGTCGCCAGAAACAAACTTCTAAGTAACTTGTATACCATATAATTTAATTGTGTCATGTGTTATACATTCAGGAATAATAAATGTTTTTAGAAGAAAGTCTGCTTAGCATGTAATAATACATATCAATAACATTTACGTAACCTATATAACATATATCGAAAATAACAGCAAACGTATTTAACATCTGAAAACTTGTTTGCAATTCATTTAATTT